GAAATATTTGAGGGGGATGAATGTGAGGTAGAGGAAAAGCTGGAGAAAGGCAGATGTGCACGATGTAAAGCGTTTTTTCATTCGCGATAACTGAAAGAGCGAGTTATTAATTAGGTTGAAGTCCACTGTTTGCATTGTAGGCTGTTGTTATACTCGACCTCCCAGTCCAGAGTAGCCCTTGTTCGAGGATGCACTCTAGCCTTTACGCAACCAAGCGTGAGCTACAAGGCAGCAGTATTGTTCTAGATAAGCCGGTGACCGGGCGAAATGCTTCCATGCGACCAAGCGTCTCAAATAGCCCCTGCTGAGGAAGCCCTACTTACTGCCTTCTAGTGGCGGTGTTTTCCCACCAAAGTGAGGGGACGAAAAGCCGATATCCGGGGCTATAAACGGGTTGTTGGACCATTAGTAGTTCATCTAAGGGAGTTGGCCAAAAACCCTAATTACAAACCAACCAAGAACAGGCGTACGAACCGCACCGTGGTCACCTGCCTGATTGGGCATCAAGGTGTATCGGGCACCTTGGACGTTTGACCCCGTTCAAATGGCGTTTGATTCGATGAACTGGACATCGGCCCCCAATGGATTGCGGTTTTCGCACACCGCCCCGCTGCTTTGCGGGTCAGGCTTTGGTTAGCCGAAGGCTCCGGTTGTGGATTCCTCGAGAAAATTCACCTGCCTTGGCCTGGACAACCTGGCAGGGTTCAGCCCGCAAGCCAATCATAGAACGCCTTTTTCTTCTTTATAAAGATTATTGTACCATGATTTGTTTGGCACACAGTCGGGCCTCAGACAAGTGTGAAATATAATAATAATATAATGGTTTCAAACACTAAAAATTACAGATGTGAGAGCAATAGCACGGTAGTTGTTGGGGTCGGAAGGGTTACTGCGCTTTGGGATTGGAAAAATAATGGCATTTTTCCAAAGAGTAGGGAAAGATTTAAGATCGAGTTAATGACATAAGAGGAGGCATAGAACAGGGGCTAACTCCGGGGCACATTCTTAGGACGATAGGTGGAATACCGTTCGGACCGGGTGGTTTGCAAACATCTAAACCACGAAGAGTTTGGCGGACCTTTCTGGTTGTTATGATAGGTAGAAAAGAGTGATTAGACGTGTAGGAGGAGGGTTGAACAGTAGAGTCGGCAGATAAGGTGGAGTTGAGGGCAAACCGGGAAGCGAAGACGTCTGCTTTTTCGTGGGGATCAAAGGAATTGCAAATGGGAGGAAAGTTGGAGGGGGCAGAAATTACATGCAACCGCTTTGACGAGGAACCAGAATTGTCGTTTACAGGTGACGGAAGAAGCCAGGCGCACAGCTTTGCGACAAATGAAGCATTCTTTAGCTCTCCGAATAGTGACAGCATTTGTTTCTGGCTTGCACGAAGCGGTTGCGGGAGGCTGGATTTGGTACGTGGCGCCAACGACGGGATGGTGAGTTTTTAAAACGTATAG